AATTCTCGTAAATTACCTGGCCTTTCTCCTTTCTTCTCCCTGATGATCTATAGACTGGCCTTTGCGTTGATTTTGCCATGCATATCCGTAATTTGTGTAAATCACCATAGCTTTATTGAAGTAAATGGTGTGAGACTGGTTTACATTACCTACGGACCAGACCAGTGTTTTTTACTGTGCTCTGCTAAGCAAAGGCAGGAGCCCATCATAGGTTACTGAATGTAAAAGACATATATGTGTAACTGACCCCTAGTACTCACCTTCTTTAAAAGAAAATACCAGCCACCCTGAAATGAATTACTGGTTAACTACTATTAATATGCCATAGAGTCAGAGAGTCGTCTACAACACTGAAAGATCAATACCAGTATTTATTGTGCATCATATTGATCTTCTATGAAAGAGTGGGCCATATTTCACACTGTGTACATAGTGCAAAAAAAGTAGCATCAGACTTAGTAAAGACATAGAGAAGAACTTAGAGCTCCAAGGACACAGCTGCACAAAGACGTACTGTTGTCTTTGCTGCAAAACAGTTGCTCATGGATGGAGAGCCTATGATGGCCCTACATAGTAGACTTGGTGTTCCAAAATCTGTTCCAAAATCTGAGTGAGAATTTAAACTGCTTTGGTTTTTTTTTTTTTTGTTACTGTTATTCTAATTTCTGTACTTCCTTGTACAGGCTCAGTCCCATTTTTGATCATGTTGTATTTGCAACTTCCAAAATACTGAATTTGTGTGTAATAGCAAGGGAAAGGCCCAGGAGCCCTTCCTACTTTTTCCATCTAGAGAGCCAAGGCATAAGCCCAGATCCTGCAGCAGATCTCATATTTTGAAGCGCAGGTAGAGGGGCAGAGTGGAAGCTTGACAATGCAGCAGAGGTTATCTTCTTGAGAGCTTAATTCATCTCAGAAATTGTACCCTGATATGCAGGTGTTGTAATGCTGCAAGTTCTAAGGCAGGGGAGGACTCTCTTCTTGCCAGGATAAACATTCAGCTGTATTGAACTTGGAAGAAATAAAGAAATCAGCTGAAAGCTGATTTCTTAACCTTGGTGTTCTCTACTTGCTGGCAGAAGACGGCCTCCTTTGGGAAGAGCACTTACCTGGTTGAGTGGATGGAGGCATGGCTGTAGGAAGGTTCAGCTACTAGATAAGAGTCTACCCCTACAGGTATGGTCCAAGGACCAACCAGAGGAACTCCAGCTAGATAGTTAAAGATGTTGATCCCTGGAAATTTGTCCTTCCACATTTAGAAGCATGGTGTCTCGTGGGATTTAGGGAAAACTAACTCTTCTGGCTGTATTTCCTCTGAGCCCTAGTTCTTCAAGGAGCTGAATGTGTCTTTCCTTCATTTGAGCTTTTGCCTCTCCCATTGCTCCCATTTTTGTTGTTAATACGCTGGGGCACATCTCTGTGGTGTGGCCCTGCAGCTCTGAATGGTTGTGTGCTGGAGATGTTACAAGGACCATATATTTAATAACTCTGGGTTTTTAAGGGAAAAATGCCCAGCTTGCTGATGCTTGGGGTTTTATGCATATGGGTGCTGGAGTGGCTGAATGAGCCAGCTCTGCAGAGCAGCTTTGGAGATAGCAGCTGATGGTAGTGTAAAGACTTGGAGCATAGACCGACAGCTGAAAGAAAGCAGAGAACACTTCTGGTGGGTTTGTAACAGCCCTGAACTCTGAACTACTGGTGGTTGTTGTGCAGTTACATAAAGGAAAACGTGGGAAAAGTCAAAACTTTTGCACCACTGGTGCCAAATGATGGTAGTCCAAACCACAGATAGAAGATAGAAAAGAAGGATGAAAAAGCTTTTTTTTTTCTCCTTAATGCCAGTGCTGCTCTTCAGAAGGGAGCTGTAGCACTAACAGCTGCTGGAATGTCACAGAAGCATCAGGAATATCAGGAATGGTTGTGATTTGATGGATGGCTATAGGTAGGTTTCTGTTCTAGCTTAGCCTATCTTGTCCCATGTTAGGAAGTGTAGTGTATAAAACCTTTCCAAAAGTTACAATAAAATGTGTTTCTTTCTCCCCTTCTTCCTTTTAGCTGCTGGCACCCAGTGTGACTAATCCCTCCTGCTTATTAGAGAATCAGAACCACAGAATCATACAGATTGGAAAAGACTTGTTAAGATCATTGAGTCCAGCCTTCAACCCATCACCACCTTGTCAATTGACCATAGCACTTAGTGTCACATCCAGTCATTCCTTGACACCCTCCAGGAATGGTAATTCTGCCACTTCCCTGGGCAGCCCATCCCAATGCTTAATAACCCTTTCTGTAAAGTTCTTTCTTATGTCCAGCCTGAACCTTCATTGGCACAGCTTGAGGCTGTCTCCTGTCATTCTGCCACTTTGTACATGGGAGAAGAGTCCAGTCCCCATCTGACTACAACCTACTTTCAGGCAGTTGCAGAGGGTGATATGGTCCCCCTGAGCCTCCTTTACTCCAGCCTAAACAACTCCAGTCACTCATAGGACAGGTGTTCCACAACCTTCCCCTGCTCCATTGCCCTTCTTTGGACATGCTCCAGCACCTCAGTGTCTTTCTTGGAGTGAGGGGCCCAGCTGAATACAGTGCTGAAGGTGTGGCCTCACCGGTGCTGAGTGCAGGGGACAATCCCTGCCCTGCTCCTGCTGGCCTCTCTGTTGCTGGCACAGCCCAGGATGCCATTGTCCCTCTTGGCCACCTGGGCACTGCTGGCTCATGCTCAGCTGCTGTCACCAGCACCCCCAGGGCCTTTTCCTGTGGGCAGCTCTGCAGCCACTCTGCCCCAGCCTGTGGCACTGCCTGGGGCTGCTGTGACCCAGGGGCAGGACCAGCACTGGCCTTGTTGTACCTCACACCACTGGCTTTGGCCATGATCCAACCTGTGCAGATCCCTCTGCAGAGCCTTCCTGCCCTCCTGCAGATCAGCACTCCTGCTTGATTTAGTGTTGTCTGTGAATTGACTGAGGATAATCTTGATTCCCTCATCCAGATCATGTAGGTGTAGAGAGACCTTGTGTTCCTGGTGCTAGTATTTTTAATGGGGAGTAGTCACCCTTCTAATGGTTGGACTGTAAATTGAAAGACACTACAGAGATTTTAGAAGAAATCAGGCATTTGTGCAGCATAATGTAGCCTTGTGAGAAGTTCAGCCGGTGACTGCCTTGCATGTCTCTGTCATGTGAAATCTGTATCCCAGCAAGGAATGTGTTGGAGGATTTTACTTTTGGCTTCTATTTTGCAACATTTAAAATGGAACAATTGGAATGCAGCTTTATTTGAGAGGTAAATTTAGGGAGGGGAGTCAAGCTTGTGCTGTGTCTGGTCTAAGTTCTGATTTTATCAGATGTACTCAAAAGGATCTAAGAGTCTTGCCCAGAAGCAGAATAATAATTCTAAAAATTTTAAAAATGAAAGTGCAGAAACTGTGAAAAGTCTTCTGTGGTATTGCAGGCACTTCTGTTTTGTGTGCAAATTTGAGAAATACTCCAGATAAGGATAAGCCAGCTGACATGGTTCTGCAGAAAAATCAGGTGCAGGAGTCTCTGCTAATAAATAGTTCATTTATGTCAACAGAATGGCAACAAGAGCTGAATGGGGTACTCTGTAATTTAGTGACCTGGAAGGAGATGATCCATGATTGCAGAAAGCTTTCATTATAACTGAAGAAGTGAAACACAATTGCATTGTAGATAGCAGTAATAGGTAAAACTGATTGTTTGATCTAATATGCAGCTGATGCACAGGACTGTGGAGGTGTTACCATGACTCTGAGAGGCTGGTATGCCACCATATTCCTTCCATAGGTAAGTAAGTAACCAAGACGCAGGTACACCAAGAGAAAGATCAGAACAAACTAGGCATGCCCGAAATGTTCCTTAGAGCTGTTATTTCCTATGTGCTTGTTGCCCGTGCTGCTTCATGTCCATACCATGTCCATATCTTGGGAGCTCATCCATAGGCTTTAAACCACATTGTTTTCTTCTCTACAAAAGAGCTGGACAGCATCATGGGGAGAAGTGGAACTCCTTACATTGAACTGGTACAAGGCAGGGTCACAGCCATACAAACTAAAGCCAGAGCTACAGATAACGGAGAGATCTGGATGTTTGATTTTTTTTCCCCTTGTAAATGTATATATAAGATTGTGGCAGTTTTTTGTTGTGTCTGGCTTGGCAGTGTAACTGATGCCACATACGAGAGAGAGCTTAAGAGTGCAATAGTACCAACAAGCATCTTCTCTTTTTAATGCTTGCAAATATTGCAAGGCCTTGGTTGACAGTGGGGTGGGAAATCATGGCTTCTCATTGTCTGAGAAGCATCCCCATCTTAGGGAGTAACAGAGGCAGAGCTTGCCTGTGGGGAGTGCAGCCAGCTAACCCGTGATCTGGAAGCAGTCCAGAGTGGATGCTAGAAGTCACAAGCAGTACCTTTCTCCTGCTCCTCTTTTGCTAGTGGTGGGAGATCTTGTTCTGCTCTGTGATTCTCTAGGTATGGGAGCTAAATTTGGGTGAGGCTCAGCAAGGATTGAGGACCTTAGGTAGTGTGTGTGTTTCTGGGACACCTTGGCTGTTCCTGTGGTATCCCACTGCAGCTTCTCTTGTCTTGTGGCTGTTTGCCCTTCCTAGAGGCATGTTCAGAAGGTGTCCTCTCACCTTCAGGACACTGGCTGGGAGGAGTCATTCTGTAGCTAGCTCCTTCCTGCTTTTAGAGAGTTACAAGAGACTTGGCACACTGTTACAGGGATAAAAAGTAGTAGGGGACTGCAAAGTTAGGCAGTCTGCAACCAACCTGCCATTGGTTTTGTTTGCTGTTTTGCAGTCTGTGGTGTGTGTAGGTGACAGTCTTGGACTGTGAGTAGTTGCTGGTCCATTTGAGTTTCCACTGAACTCTCAGCCATGTTTAGCTTTCAGCTCCTACTTCTTATTTACCACTCTGTCCTGCCTTTGGTAGGAGTAGTAGCTCATTAGAATGTGAAAGATAATGGTGTTTTTTTTCTCTTCCAGAGGGACGGATGCTCATTCAGGACATCCCTTCCCTCCCCAGCAGAGGGCACGTGGAGAGCACGTCTGAGCTGGTTGTGGACTCCGCCTACTACAGCAGTTTCTACCAGCCGCCTCTGTATCCTTGTTACAGCAACCTGTGCAACTACTCCCAGTACCAGATGGCAGTGGCTGGCGAGCCTTCCTCAAGTGAGACGGGGGGGGCAGTTGTAGGGTCTGCCATGAAGAACAGCCGTCGAAGTCTCCCAGCAACATACATGCCGAGCCAGTCAGGGAAACAGTGGCAGGTACGATCTCCTCTTTGCTGGTTTCGCGGCAGTGCAAACACCAGGACACATTTTAAGAAAGTTAGACAAAACGGGTGCTTGCAATGCAGTGTAACAAAAGTAATTACATAGTTGGACAGTGATAATGGTATGGATAAATTGCCACAAGCGCAAAGGGCACTAACTTGATTTTATCTTCTGTATTCTGTGACAGTAGATTATTAACTGTTTTCCAGAAAAAAGAGTCCAACTCAATTGCTCAACATAACATCCTGAGAGCCTAAGGTGTAATTTCTGGGAGGCTTTGCTCTCAGAAGCATGGGTTTTTTCTGTGTTTCACATCCAAGGTGCCGAGGTGACCTGGGAGACCATGCTGTTGTGCAGCGGTTTGGTTGCAGTCAGTTGAACATGACGTGGCATATAGTTAGTTGTGTGTTGTAGCAGTTGCACCTCCAGAGCTTGTGTTTTTACTCATGTAGTTCAGATTACAGGCAGTTTCCTGAGAGGTTCAGACTAGAGCTCTGTGTACTTCATTAGGATATAAAGTAAATCAAGCCCTCTCACTCTAGGGCTTGATAATTGTACCCTCCAACTCAGTACCAGTCGGAAGCTGGAAAAAGGGGAAATCTGCCAAGATGGGGAATTCTTGGTGAAGTGGAAACATTTCAGTGACTCTGGGGCTGTTTGCTTTTGGACTTCAGAGGTGTTTTTTCTGTCTGAGACTGAACTGGTAAGACTGTACCCTTTGTGTCTGTATTTGCCTGTGTCCCTTGTGTAAGGGCAGGAGAGGGCAGACCCCTTCTGTAGAGCATCAAGACAGGGCAGGCTGCTTCTGCAAAGACTGTGTTGTGAAACCACTCAACAATGAAATGTCCACCAAAACCTCCTTGTGTAAATGAACAGATAGGTCATCCTGTTTGCTGACAGGGAGTTTCTCTAGCCAGGTCTCTGGCACAGGGACCAGCTCTGAAAGGGCATTTTAGTTTTTGATACCGAGGAGCTGAAACTAATGCCAGGGTGATTACAGTTACTGTAGCATTTATCACTATTCCACATGCCTTTTTCTGCCGGGAGTACCACTGTATGGGATAAAAAGCTATCTCCCTTCCTTCTGCAGTGCAAGCTCATGCTATGAGAGCTTCTTCTCTCAGTGTGTTGATACATGTATACATGAAGGTATACTTTTCCAGTTGATGGCATACTGTTCAGCTGATGAATTCAGTCACCAGGCCAAGGGGAAAATTAGTCAAGGCGAGTTACAGGATTTTGGGCATGGTAATGGGCTGAGGTGCCAGGTGCTTTTTCAACTCTTTCATTTTGGTTGATTGGGTTAGCCTGGTATAGTCGAATATTTCAGATAGGTTACTTCTCAAGCATCTGCAGCATTTATCTTGCTGATGCGTGGAGACACCACTGCAACACAAACGAAGTCTGGCAACATCGGGCATGTGAAAATAATGTTCTTGCAGGCTGCTAGACCCACACTTCACCTAGCACATGGTGTGATTAAACATGTTAAATCTTGGAATGAAGATGTGATGTCCATGTACTGTAATTTATACAGAAAGTCTTGGCTTCAAGAGTCTGTGTCTCACTTGTGAGATCTCCTGTTGCTTGTGGAATCTTTGACACCCCATAAAGAAATAAAAACAACTCTGTGGTTTCCGTAATTCTTCTCTTCAGGCCCTGCAGAAGCTAACTTCTGCTTAAGTGACATTCAAATTAGTGAGATCTTGAAGAGGTAAGTAAGGAAAAAATGTCATGGTTGTTGTCCAAAAGGTGAGTTTTCCTTCCACCAGCAGGCTCAAAGCTGTGGATGTCTCTTGTGGAATATACCACATTACTCTATTCACCTTTATGGGAATTTAATTATCTACCACATCTAAGATTTTAATTTCTCCAGAGCAGACCTTTTGGATCCCTGTGTGGTGTTTTGTTTGGATGTCCAAGCAGAGAGAATAAATGTGCTGCTTTTTGCCTGCAGAATTTGCCCAGCTTCTTATGTCCTGAAACCAGGTCAACTTCTCCTCTTCAGCAGGGCAGGATGTAGTTCAAGGTCAGTGTTTTGTAACTTACAAGCTGTTTCTGAGACTGATCTGCAAGAAGGATAGTTATTGCTGGAAGGGCTTGCATACTCTTACAACAGTGGAAGATTGCACAAATAATCATAAAAAGTTTTAGTGAGAGGCTAGAAAACATCAGATGGCAGTGGGTGCAGTGATCCTGAGGTTGTAAAACCCTGTGTGGCACTGAAGATGGTTTATTGTATGGGATAAAAGGAGCTTGCTGCACGTGGTTGTACATTGATTCTGCACACATAGGTTACCAGCAAGGGAAGATCACAGAAATAACAATAAATGGAAGATAAGAATAACTGATGAGCTTTTCTGTCAAGCACAGTAAGGAATTATAGGAGAGTTTCATTTGAAGCATGATCCTCAAAGAGGAATCAGACCTTGCTTATAATCAGGAGGTTTTGCTGGTAAACCTGTGTATGCTTATCCTCCTCAGAGGAAAAATGTAGCTGTTACCTACACAGGGACTTCTGCTGGGCTGCTTGTACTGACTGAATTTATTTTTCACACGTACAGGCTTTCTTAAACCAGACTCCAATAGAAGTGCATCTTCTTTTCTAACTTGTATTGTTGTTAACTGTTTTGATCAAAGTTTTTGATCTTTGTTTCTTTGCCAGAATCATAGCTGGGCAGTGCCTGTTGTAACCAAATCAGGGCTGCTTGCTAAGGTGTGAGCTCACAGGAGAGTTTCTTTCATGGTACAAGTCACCACTGTGTTCACTGGAGGGTATTCTAGTTTAAGCTGGGTAGACAAGACACCTGGCTTTTCCAGGCTTACTTGGTGAAGGCTCACAGATCCTAGATTAACTTCAGCCACATAGGGAGAATTGCATATTTAACTTCTGGACACAGACAAGGCCTTGAGCAGCCCAGCTGTCTGCTGTTTCAGAATTTAGGGAGCAAGAGAGAATAGCCAGGGAGGAAACATGTGAGTGTGTGTGGGATGAGATGAGGATTAATGCATCATTGAGCATTGGCAAATAAACTGAATCACTGAATCTTTAATGTAGATTAATGTCAGATTTCATTAGTCTTTGTTCTTTGCAGAAGCTGGCATGCTCGAGTGGATTCATAAAGGTGCAAATATTTTATGTATTTCTCTGTAGGTTTTCCTCATCTATATACAGTCACACCAGAAGTTGTATCCATCATGATTTGATAAGCATAATGAAGATTACTATTTTGGTTGAGGCTTCTTCGATCATTTATATTCTGCTGCTCCTTCCAGCTCTAAGGCAGATAATCACATATGTCTGGTGTTGCACCTGGGGAAGAAACAAGCCTAGGTTGGTAGGAAATGTAGCAGATTTGATGGTTACTGTACCTCGCCTTTCCCTCCAATCCTGTGTGGGCATCTGGAGTCTCCCTTGAAGCTCTTGAAATTCCTTATTACGATGGGAATTTTTGTGCATTCCATCCAATTAAAAATAAAATCAGTTTGCCAACATACTTCATGTCAGAATAGGTTGGTGTACTTGAAAGTTGGTGCTTCTGAAACTGGTCTCACTTCAGGTTGGTTGGGGACTGCCTGACTTCGCAGTCCCCTATTTTTATGCTATAACAGTGTGCTAAGTCGCTTGTAACTCTTTAGAAGCAGAAAGGAGAATACAGTGTGATTGTAGCCTTTCTATCAAAGCAAAAGTAAAGCCTTGTTGGACATGTCTGAATCTAATCAGACTTGATTTTCAAAGCTGACAAACTGCTGGCATGTGGTCCACAGCACAAGTCTAATCTGGACTCATTGTGAGTCAGCATTACCCCCCAAAAATGTTAAAATTTCTGGTTCATTCAGCTAAACCATTAAAATTGGTAAGATATGCAGAATGTGCCCCCACACCTCAGGACCAGTGGCTGCTTTTTCCTTGGTGCTCTGGTAACTCCAGGGATCCTGTTCCTGGGAAAGGTTAAGGCTGGTTTGGATGTTTTGGATACATTTCAGAACTTCCCTTTCCCTTCCCTCCCCTCCACTCTCCTCTCTTTCAGAGCCTCAAGTTTTTTGTTCTTTCCTTACAGCAGTTTAGAGCAAAAATAATTTGTAAGAAACCAGGATATTTTTACTTTATAATGTGGGATTTACATTAACCATCTGTTAAGTATTTAGTGTTGCTTATGTAGGAAACTGTTTTTTAAGGATTTCTTTGAAGTACCAAACTTGGAAAAATTCTATTTTACAAAATCCAGGGAAATGTGGCTATGACAGGACAGCTAGGAGGTTGAAGAATAACCACTTGCTGGTAAAAAAAGATGTCTCTTTAACTTTTTCCACCTGCTTCTGCTTTCTGGCCCGGTTTTTCTTCAAAAAGCCAGTCTCTCTTAAAAAAGTTGCAGTCTTATTCTTCAGAAGTCAGTGTAAAGTGTGTGCATGTGTGTGTAAATGTATACACATTGTGCAAGTCACCCAAGACAGTCCCAATTTTATGTGTAAGCAGTGAATTATATACTGTATTCATAACATACCCTTCACACTACAGATTTATGCTAAAAGTATCCTAATGTTTCTGACAGCTCATGTGTGACATGAATGTAATCCATATTTCTTGGAGGAGCTAATCTATGTGGTTTATTTTCCAATACTGCTGATAGGGCTATATCTCTAGGTGTCACTGCAGTTGAGATTCTGATGGTAACATATTGTTTATGGGTCACTGCCTTTGTCTAAAAGAATAGGTTGGAACAGAATAGCAAAGGTTAATTAAGTTTGTCTATCAAGGAGAGACAGATATAGATGTGTCTTGTATTTTCTGTGCTAGGATCAAAGTAAGTCAAGGCAGGGTATCATAGACTCATTTTTTCTTTTTTTCTTGAAAGCATGCTTAGCTGGTTTGAGGAATGAAACACCTTGGGCAGTATGAGTACAGCAGTAGTTGTGCGGGGTCAGCACATGAGCAGTAACATTGCAAGGTAGGAGAGTAGCAGCAAACCTGTTTTTACCTGCAGAAACTGAGGCAGGTAAGTTAAATAACTTGCCACAGTCACACAGAGGACACAGAGATTACTGATGCCTCAATTTCCATTTCATTGCCCAATGGCTGCCTTCTTGCCCATGCCAAAAAACAACCTGTGAATTCTGTTGTTTGCAAGCAATGACACAAATGCAAGTTTATGCCCACTAAAATTGACTTTAAAGATCAAGGCAATTTCCATTTCATTGCCCAATGGCTGCCTTCTTGCCCATGCCAAAAAACAACTGTGAATTCTGTTGTTTGCAAGCAATGACACAAATGCAAGTTTATGCCCACTAAAATTGACTTTAAAGATCAAGGCAGAAGGAGGAGTCTATGTTAAGCTTTCAAGTTTCTTAGGCGTTTCCGTAATTACTGAGTTTGCTAAGTTTGTTGATGAGTCATGGGTGAAATAAAAGGATGGAATCCTGGGTGAAGTGATTTGGCCAGGGTCATGTGGCACACAGTGGCAGAGCTGAAGGATTGCATTTTGATCTCCTGTGTTGCTTATAAATTTTTGCAGCTCTTGTCACCCAGGAATAGCATCCATGACCTCCTCCTGTTTGTCTTTCTTGGAAAGAAGCCCATAGTTAGGATCAGCTGCAAAGTGTGAAGATAGCACTGTTGGGCTCACAAAGAGATTGTGTCTGGCAGCTTCTGCAAATAAAAGAATTACACAGGTGGTGTTTTGGCTAAACAAATGCCTGTGAAGGGCAGAATCATTCTCTCACCTCTGAGACTAGAGAGGTGAGTCACCACTTGGTGCTTGTTTTGACACCTTCCTGTTTCTGGTTTGGCCACCTTCTCTCCTCAGCTCTTTTTCCATGAAGAAGGTATGTAGAGGTTATGCAGATGCTACCAGAAGCTTGGGAAGAGGCACTGGGCTTTATGTGCTCTTCCACCAGCTGTTGAGAAAGGCTTTTTACAGGAATGGTCTGACGCAAGAGCATTTTCCTCATATTTTCCCTGGATTTTACTATATATGCTGTCAGTGTTGGACATAGCTGTAGGGCTGCCCTGACCATTTTGTTCATTAATTAACAAGTCCTGTTTCTGATTTGGTGTGCAAGGGCAAACTGTAGCTGCCTCTCAGTTCCTCACAGTGGCTTTTCGCTACACAGGGGAAGAATTTACAATACACTTGTGGCCTTCCAATCAGGCCATATTTATTTGTTAATGAATTGTAAACATCTCAACATTGCTTGCAGTACATCTTTTAAAGCATTACTGAGTGTGTGCTGTGTTGTACAATTTAGGGGAACTTGTAAATGTTGCATAGGCCAACTGCTGTTCTGATGATATGTGTCTCCCACTAAAGTCTCTGAGGTACTTGGTGAATCCTGCAGCTGGAGCAGAGCACAAGCACTCTGTGGGCTGGAAGAGAAGCAACTTAGCTGCTTAGAATGCCTTCTGCAAAGACTAATGCATGCTTTTGCCTTCCACAGCTCTTGCTCACCTAAAATATGCCTTGTTCTTTTGGCAAGTAGCGTGCAGTGATAAAAACCAGAGTAGTTTGTGGGACTGTTCCAGCTCATGCCTGTCTCAGCTTTGTTGTAGGGGTGGAAGGGGTAAGGGAGGCAGGAGACACCAGAAGGCCTGGCGTTGTCCTCGTGTGATCCATGCATGACCCTAGCATTCACCCTGACAGGCCTAGTACAGGATCCCAAACCTGGTACCTGACTGTAGCATTTAGAAAGCTGAACTGCCCCAGGTTAAAAATAATCTTAATAATCAAGGAAAATAATCCCCAAGGCTGTCTTGATTCTCTTTTTTTGGCAGCCAAAAACCTTCAAGGATTCCACAGAGCTGCAGGAGTTAGTACAGACCAAATATTCCTTCTCATGGGGTAGTGGTCTCCTAAGCCCCCTTTTTAATGCAGTGCTAAGGTCAAGAATTTTTACAACTGGTTGGTTTTTTATTGTTACTGTAAAATAGGATTGCTAAGCACTATAAAAAGGAAACCTTATGGTTTAGATTTACTGTGGTATAGATTCTAAATAGTTTAATAAAAGAAAACCAAAAGCTTTTGGATTTTCTTCAGTGGTTAATACACAGCATATTCTTTGCTGAGCCAAGCCTCTGGCTGTCAGTTGAACTGTGGTTCATAGACTTGGTGTGGGTAATAAGATTATAAAACATGTCTCTTGCTAGCCAGCTACCACACACTAATAATAATAGTAGTAATAATTCATTGCATCTAGGGATTTTAGGTGAGTTGTTTTTTTTTAAGAAATGGAGAAAACCCCTAAAAAAAGTGTTGAATGGAGGAGGTGGATCACTGCATCCACTTTACAGGAGGGGAAATGTGCACATGATAGAGTTCGTGCTGGGGAGTGATCCCTCCATTTTGCTACAGCTGAAATAATCTGTCTCCTGCAGGCAGCCTTTTCTTGGTTGTACGTGTGCACACGTGGCCTTGCACAAGGGAGAAGTGGAGATGTGAGGTCTGTGGATGCTGCCCTGCCCCACTAAGGGAGGGAAAACTATATGCAACACAGCAGATAAAGAACAGTTGACTAACTTTTTTTTTTCCCCTGGTACTGAGCTGTTGAGCTTTGCAGATGTGCAGATTCAAAATGTCCTTTGGACTGTGCTTTTGGGCAGTTCGTATCGCACAGAGGCAATGTTTTGTTGGGGGAGTCTTGTTTCCAAAAAGGAGAGTGCCCCTTGTCAGAAGAGGAGAAGTAATGTCAGTGGTTGAGTTCAGACTTCCTCAGGATGACTCATTAAATTTTTGAACAGTAATTTACTATTTACTCTGGATGAAACTTGAGTGTGTGTCGAACTTTTTCTGCATATGAAGATAGAAAAACAAAAATGTTGAGTATTGCTTTAATTTATAGGAGAAAAACCCTTAACTTTCACAGGCTAAAAGCAAGTCCCTCAGTACATGTGCAAGTATATGCAACTATGCAGCTGTCAGAAATCATGCAGAAGTTCACTTTGCTTCCTGTGAACAGCCACCATTCTCTTTCTGTGCACCTAATCTCACTGAAAATATGCCTTAGAGAGCACCAACAGGATTTTATGTGGCTTGGGGCCACAGTATTTGCAGCTAGGCATATGAAAATGAATTACATGGAATTCCCCTTGGAAAACAAAGGGTGACTGCGTTGTGGAGTGGTTCTGGGAGGTGCTGGTGGCTCCGAGTGCCAGGACCAGACCCTGTAGGTGTACTGGCGTGGGGCAGCTGTGTGGGACTGTAGGTGCATGCCTAGCCTCCCCTGCTCCCTGGCTCTGATGGGCTTTGCAGCCTGGGAAGGGCTGAGGAGCGGGGCTCCAGGGACCCAAGGGAGCCACAATGGAGCGGGCAGAGCGGAGGTGGGACCTAGCTGAAAAGGCTGTCAGGCATGTCTGCTTGCAGACATTGTGTAGTGGCATGGCTGGATGTGCATTATTGCTGGCACTGCTACTACCTAACTGGTACAAAGCTATGACAGTTTGTCTCTGCCCAGAAGCTTTCCATCTTTCAGTCATTCTCTTTCCACCATACTTAGAGAAACCATCTAGTCTTATCTTTCCCATTGCGACAGTTAGTCTTGTTTTGGGAGCATTTTTGCAGTACAGAGGCCATGTTGCATTGTAAGGGCTTTGTATAACAAATAATAGTAAGTTGTTGGTTTTTTTCATAAAATAAAAATTTGAGAAAGAATTGCCACTTTTTTGAGGAGATCAGTTTGGATGATATCAGGGCACTGGAGTCTAGAACAGACTTTGATTTGTGAGTGTTGCCACTTCGCTGCAATCTGTGTAAGGGAAAAGGGACATCCAATTGATGTTGTGCTGACATGGCAGACCTGCTGGCTGGTGTCCAGTTGTGGCTTCACAACCAGCTTCTTGTGTAGTCTAAACACAATTTGCTTTTTTTCAGTAACTCAGGAAAATATTTTTCCCATCTTATGGTATTGTAAGAAAAATAGTGCTTGTGTTCGGGTGTGTCACTGCTCAACACCATGGAGCATCATATCCTGTGAGACTCGGTCGACAGGAGTCGACCTCCTTAGCCACCCAGGAGGTCCCTGACAGAGCAGTTGCCAGCAGTCTGACATGGGTTGGTCTTTGGGGAGGTGTAGAAGATGTATGGACGCTTCACCTCTGACACTGGCCAGGTGTATACACTTGAATGTGCCATAAGCTGGGGACTTGGCAGGAAGGTGCTGGCAGTGAAGGGTACTTGCTTGTGTGCCAGATGCATCTCCATCTGCAGTAAGGTAAAACAGCATAGGTGTGCTGCTGCTGCTGCGTCTGCTGCTGGGTCATATCTCACATCACACCACCTGTAGCTGGTCGATGTGGGCAGACTGTGAAGCCATCAAATCAAAAGCCCAAGGCCAGCATGTCAGAATTTTACTTCCCGTGCATCCACTGTGACCTCCTTCAAAGCCATGGAGGGGTGGCAGGGAGGGATAGCAGGGTGCCCCCGTGGCACTGGGGCTTTGCTTTCACAGGCTGCTCTTGCATTTCTCTCTCCTGACAGGTGAAGGGCATGGAGAAACACCACACCATCAGCTCCCAGTACCGTATGTGTTCCTACTACCCACCTGCTTCCTACCTGGGACAGGGGGTTGGCACTTCCATGTGCCGCCCCCAAATCCTGACCCCTGAGGACATCCCCTCCTCCTCGGAGTCAAAAGCTAAAGGTGAGTGCACCCACTGGGGTGTGTGGCACCAGCTGGCCTTGGACCTGCACTCAGGAGGTGTGGGTTGCTGCTGGGAAGGAAGCGAAGCATCATCAAGCAGCTGTTTTAAAGATAGTGGCTTCTGGAAGGCTTGTAATGTGGTGGCAAAGTAAGGCTGATGGTGTATAGTCATGCAGTCTTGCACTTTAGAAGCCTCATTGTTCAGGAGTCCAATCAGTTGTACCTTCTGCACTTACATATGTCTCTTAAGTTGTATGGCGCTTGAGGTGCTGTTTGGTGCTTATCACCTGGTTCCCTCACAGGAGTAAATAACAATCTTTGCTCCAATCTCAGAATTACCTTTCTTCTCAGAAATGCTGTGATTTTTTCCACAGGCCTCCCACTGAGCCTTTGCCATCCTTTCTGACTCGCATGTGGGAACTACTGCATCCCAGCCATATAATGAAGCCCTTTGCATACTTGCTTCTGTTTTTTTTTTTTTTCACACTAATCATACCATGTTACTTAATTTAAAACTACCACAGATAAATCTTTACATACTGTGTTTCAGGCTCTCCTAAGGAATATTGTAATCAGCAGTAATTTCCAGTGCTGGTGAGCCATTCAGGAGCAGGAGGTGGAGCTTCCTTCATTCCTGAGTGACTCATTTAAGAGGTGTCTGGGTAGCATGGGGAGCAGGAGCAGGCAAACAGGGTCACAGCAGTTTGTGCAGGCAGGGCAAGCAGGCAGGGCTGCAGGTTCTTGCTAGTCAGGTGAGGCATTTTTATTGGTTGGTTTGCTTTAGGCTTTCTCCTAGTAATAGTTTTAACCCGGTCAAAATCTGTGGTCAGTTCAAGTGTATGTGACCAAGTGGAGCCCTCCAAAAAGGATGTGTCTGTACTGACCCATTCCTGCCTGGAGTGTTTGAGCTTATCCATGTTTTCAAGGAGTGCTGTGGAGGAAGCCTGCCTATAGTGTGAATAGATGAACGACCTCCTTTTACTGGGGGCCTAGCTTAGGGAGGAAGTTGAAAGATTAAGGAGTATCAGGGATAGTGAAAGGGAAATAGGCTGGTGGACTTCAGCCCTTACATCTTTAAGGGAAGCCCACCAAGGGTCAGAGGACTCCTATGCTTCTCTCAGGCAGTAGGAGGGGCACCTGGTAGATGAAGGGGAGTGGAAATGTGTCCCTGCTTGGGGAGGTAATAACAAAAATCCCTCCTGGCCCACATCCCCTTGCCACGTGCCACATCAGAATAGGTATGAGGCCCTGGATCTAGGGAGGCAGCCAGATGATTTAGAAGATAATCGTCCACCCAGTGAGCCTCTGAATTATGACTTGTCTAAAAACAGATTGGCACCTCTAACATTAAGAAGAAAAGAAGGGTAATCGTACGGATGATTTCCTTCTGAGTGGAATAGAGGGCCCCGTATGTCGACCGGACCCATCCCACAGGGAGGTCTGCTGCCTCCCTGGGGCCCAGGTACGAAACATCACTGAGAGACTCCCTGGACTGATTCAGTCCTCTGATTGTTACCCACTGCTGATACTCCAGGCTGGCAGTGATGAGATTGAAAACAGGACTGTCAGGGCATTAAAAAGGGACTTTAGGCTACTGGGCCAGGTGGTTGATAGGACAGGTGCACAGGTAGTGTTCTGCTCAGTCCCTTTGGTGGCAGAAAAAAAGATGAAAGAAATAGGAGAACTCACATTATTAACAAGTGGCTCAAGGATTGATGTCATCAGCAAAATTTCAGATTCTTTGATCATGGGGCAACTTTTATGGTACCTGCTCTACTGGAATCAGACAGGATACATCTCTCTGTTAAGGGCAGTGGGTTTTTAGCTCATGAGCTGGCAGACCTTGTTGAGAGGACTTTAAACTAGGTGTGAAGGGGGAAGGAGATGCATCTGGGCTGTCTGAAAGCAGGCCTAAGGATGGTAAGACTGTGTTAGGGGAGAAATCAGCAGCCCATCTGAGGTGCATGTACACCAATGCATGCAGAATGGATAACAAACAGGAAGAGGTGGAGGCCATGGTGCAACAGCAGAACCATGAAGTAGTCGCCATCACAGAAACCTGGTGGGATGACTCACATAGTTGGAGCACTGCACTGGATGGCTACAAGCTCTTCAGAGGAAGGAGAATAGGTGGAGGGGTGGCTCTTTATATTAGGGGGGGTTTGGATGTCGTAGGTATTGAAACTAATGATGATGAAGTTGAGTCCCTATGGGTTAAAATTAAGGGGAAGGCCAAAAAGGCCAACATCCTACTGGGAGTCTGCTATCGTCCACCCAACCACACCAGGTGGACAGCTTATTCTATAACAACTGAACAGTGTTTCTAGATCATCAGCCCTTGTTCTTGTGGGCAACTTCAACCTACCAGACATCTGCTGGGAACTTAATACAGCAGAAAAATAGCAGTCTAGAAAGTTTTTAGAGTGTGTGGGGGATAACCTTTTGTCACAACTGGTGGGCAAGCCCACCAGGGGAGGAACTATGTTATACCTGTTGTTCACAAATAGAGATGGACTGGTGGGTAATGTGGAGGTTGGAGGCCACTTGAGGCACAGTGATCATGAAATTATTGTGAATTGGTGAAATAAGGAGGATTGTCAATAAGATCTCTCTGTTGGACTTCCGGAGGGCAGACTTTGGCCTATTTAAGAGACTTAATTCAGAGAGTTCCTTGGGAAAGAGGCCTTGAAAACAAAGGAGTCCAGGAGTGATGGGTGTGCCTTCAAAGCAGAGATCTTGAGGGCGCAAGAACAGACTGTCCCTATGTGCCAAAAGATGAGTCAACGAGGCAAATGTCCAGTCTGGATGAGCAATGAGGTTTTGAAAGAACTTAGAAATAAAATAAAGGTGTATTATCTTTTCAAGGAGGGACTAGTTTCTCAGGGAGTATTTAAGGGAGCTGCTGGGGCATGTAGAAAAAAAATTTGGGAGGCCAAAGCTCAGTTTGAACTTAACCTGGCAACTTCTGTTAAAAATGATAAAAAAAGTTTTTACAAATATATTAATAGTAAAAGGACCTCTGTTCCTTATTGGATAAATAAGGAACAAGGCAACCTAGTAACCAAAGATGAGGAAAAGGTTGAAATGCCTTCTTCGCCTCAGTCTTTAGTGGTAAGACAGCTTGTCCTCAAGACAACTGTCCTCAGGGGTTGATCGGTGGTGCCAGGGAGCCGAATGGTCCTCTTGTTATCCAAGAAGAGGCAGTCAGGGAACTGCTGAGATGCTTGGATATTCATAAATCAATGGGACCAGATGGAATCCACCCTGGGGTGATGAGGGAGCTGGCGGATGAGCTTGCAAAGCCACTCTCCATCATTTATCAAGAGTTGTGGCTCACTGGCGAGATTCCAGATGATTGGAAACTGACCAATGTGACACCCATTTATAAGAAAAGAAGGAAGGAGGATCCTGGTAATTACAGGCCAGTTATCCTGACCTCAGTACCAGGTAAGATAATGGAACAGTTCATACTGAGTGCTATCACACAGCACTTACAGGATGGCCAGGGTATCAGACACAGCCAGCAGGGGCTTATGAAGGGTAGATCATGTTTGACCAACCTGGTCTCCTTCTATGGCCAAATGACCTGCCTGGTGGATGCAGGAAAGGCTGTGCATGTTGATCATTTGGGCTTCAGCAAGGCCTTTGGCACTGTCTCCCACAGCACACTGCTGGAGAAGCTGCAGCCCACGGCTGGGACAGGAGCACTCTGTGCTGGGTTCAGAACTGGCTGCATGGCCGGGCCAGAGAGTGCTGGTGAGCAGTGCTGCATCCAGCTGGGGCCAGGCACCAGTGGTGTCCCTCAGGCTCTGTGCTGGGACCAGCTCTGTTCAATGGCTTTATTGATGGCATGGATGACAGGATTGAGTCCTTCATTAAAGAATTTGCAGATGACACTGAGCTGGGAGCTTGTGTTACTCTATTGGAAGGAAAGAGTGCTCTGCAGAGAGACTTAGATCGGTTGGATCGATGAACAGAATCAAATAAGATGAAATTTAATAAGTCTTAAGTGCCAAGTTCTACATTTTGGCCACAAAAATCCCCTACAACGTTACAAGCTGGGGACAGTGTGGCTGGACAGTGTTCAGGCACAAAGGGACTGGGGGTGCTGGTCGACAGCTGGTTAAATAGGAGCCAGCAGTGTGCCCTGGTGGCCCAGAAGGCCAAGGGCATCCTGGCCTGTGTTAGGAATGGTGTGGCCAGCAGGAGCAGGGAGGTCATTCTCCTCCTGTACTCAGCACTGGTGAGGCCACACCTTGAGTGCTGTGTCCAGTCCTGGTCCCTCAGTTTGGGAAGGACGTTGAGACGCTTGAGCACATCCAGAGGAGGCAACGAGGCTGGAGAGGGGCTCGGAACACAAACCCTGTGAGGAACGTTTGAAGGAGCTGGAGTTGTTTAGCCTGGAGAGGAGGAGGCTTAGAGGTGACCTTATTGCTCTCTACAACTTCCTGAAGGGAGGTTGTAGACAGGTGGGGGTCGGTCTCTTCCACCGGGCAGCAGCTGACAGAACAAGGGGACACAGCCTCAAGCTACGTCAAGATACCTATACATTAGACACAAGATAAAAATTTTTCACTGGAAGAATAATAAAATATTGGAATTGTCTCCCCTGGGAGGTGGTAGAATCACCATCTCTAGATGTGTTTAAAAAAAGACTGGACATGGCACTTGGTGCTATAGTCTAGTTGAGGTGTTAGAGTATAGCTTGGACTTGATGATCTTAGAGGTCTCTTCCAGCCTCATTATTCTGTGATTCTGTGATTTACCCTGTAGTTTTGACAGTGTTTCTTGAGCTTCTTTGTTCCCTTATTCCCATAGCAGACAGTGCTAACAGGGGTGTTGGCTCTGCTGGAGTAATCCAACTCCACTGAGCTGCCTTTCCATCACTGAATCAGGTCGATAACCGATGCTGGAGAAATAAGAGAAACAGAGAACAAAATCTTGACACTCTCTAGCATTCAAAGATGTCCTGAGCCAGGATAATAAGCTTTTCACACATT